CAAGTTTGGTGCCGTGTGGTCAAACCGGGGCGACGTTGGGAGCGCGCGGGGTCCCCGCGTCACACGCCGCTCTGTACGCTACTCGGCTCCCAGGCCCCCCTCCGCTCCCCGCTTTTCGCCTCCGGCCCCGGTTCCCACGGCGCAGGCGCGTGGCTTTCCCGCCTCTGCCGCGCTGCGGGCCGCGGGGGGTGGCCGGCGAGGAGCCCTCGGGCTGCCGCGAGCCGGGCGCGGGGGGGGGCAGCGGGGCCAAATTAGGGACGCGCGGGCCGCGGGCCACGGGCGCACCTCGGTCGTCGGGTGCTAGCAACCCAACAAAGTTCACCTCCCCCAGTGCTGACCTATCACTCTCCAAGGAGGTCCCCGCCCCAAAGTAGGCACGCTCCAAATATGGTGGTGCCCAACTCCGCAAGACCCGAATACTTGGCAGGCCCAGGCCCCTTTAAGGTGGAGCAGGCCCGGCTTGGGTCTCCACGGCTCCTGGCGCGCCAAGATGCCTTTTCTCCTCCCGCGATGGAGGAAAGCAGCGGGAGAACTCGAGTTTGCCAGTTGCAGCTGCAGAGCAATGGCACGGGAAGGTGTTGGACTCTAGAGGGGGGCCGGTCATTGGGAGGTGGTGGCCAAGCAGAAGCACCCCAAGTGGCATCTCAACCAGCGGAGCAGCCGGCCCCGCCTAAAAGGTGCTCTGGGGTAGGTCCGACCTGCCTCCGTGAGGATACTTTCTCCCTGCATCACAGAGGGGCCCATGGGTCTCCACATTCAAGTTACTATAAGAAGCACCTGAGATGCTGGTTAACCCTTCAAGGAGTCAGTATGTCCCAGGAGAGTGCTGGAAAGCTTCCTTTTTCACAAGAATTCTCTACCAGGAGTCTGAGGGCAGAGCTATTAAAGGCTGTTGGTTGAAGTTGCTAACATGTTTGACATGCACCAAAAGTTCCCGAGAAATCTACTAGTCCTGCCTTAATAAATGACTTGGCTTTTCTGACTCTGTTCTGTCATTTAAAAATTTAAAAAAAAGAAGTTTTTATTAGTTTAGCAACTGCCATGAGCTGTGTTCCTCCAAATCCTCAAGATGTTGTTGGTGTTCAGAGGAATGCACCATAATTGCACTTATTTGAGAAGAATGAGAAACATTCTCTTTCCTATAGGATGGTCTCTTCACCATCATCATCAGCAAAAATAGATTCCAAACAACAGATGTTTATACTTGTTGCGTTAGTTAATAATAATAGCTAATACTTTGGGGCGCTTACTATGCACCAAGCAATGTTTAACTCATTGAATTTCATTACAACCTAATAAGGCAAAGAGAGGTAAGGTAATTTTCACCAAGTCACATAGCTGTTTGAGCTCTTTCAAAATGCAAAGTCTCTTTCTTCATTTACACAAATGAGTAAAGAATAAAATATAAGTGTCTGTTTTTTCTAGCCAATGGGGTTGGGGGGGTACCTTTTGGGTCATTTCACCTACAGAATCCGTTAAAATTAAACATTCTCAGTTTACTATTGGATTTACAATTAAAAACAAAAGTATTATGTACTATGGAAATTGTGACAACCCTATATCACTGCAAAAACAGTTATCAAAAACAGCAAAAAAACTCTCTTGTGAATGTACACCACTCACTGACTGATCTGCAGACAGATTACAACACAAATAGAACTACTTAGAACTCAATCATAACCAGACATTTGTCTCACCAATGAAGCTGTTGTTTATACAGTACTAGAAGTCAGCAACTAAATTGTAATACCATAGAAATAATAATAGTAGTAAATTGTTATAGTAAAAGTAGTGACCATTTATGAAACTCTTTATAAACAAAATACATGTCAAAAAAATCGGTGCATGAAAGAAAACTTGCTAAGGACAAAAAGTTTGAATAAGGTAATGCAGAAAGAAAGAAAAGAAAGCAGGCAAACTGGAAAAATCCAATACCCAGTTATGTGGCTCAATGCCAAAATAGTTAAAGACATTAAAACGAATCTCTAGTTGAGAATGAAAATCAAGATGTGAAAAATAGTTTGGGAGAAAATTTACAAAGCACACCTACTCTCTGATGAATTCACCTGATGAAGAATCTTAAAAAAAAAAAAAGGAAAAACAAGGCCTGGCTATAGTTAATATGTTAAAATCTAATAATATTAGCACAATATATGAATCCATTAGTTATTCCAGTGAATGGAATTACCCAATAAAATATACAAATAAGGTATAGTCTCAAATGACCTAATAAAAAAGAAAACAATTTTACATTGGTTAAAAGCAGGCAATTCTCCACATTCCAATACTTCTGAATTCCAGGCAAAAGAAAAAAAATGAAACATTGGTTAATCCACTATCTAGTAATAAAGTCAAGTTTTGTATTTATTGTAGGACTTCACTGGTTCTTGACATACTGCTACCTCTGAGTACCAAAACTATAAGTCTCATTTGTGGAACTGCAAATGTTACAATATGTTTGTTAATTGGGGTGGGGATAGGAGGAAATTCACACAGAGATGAAGAAGTAAACAGAGATCAAACCTCTTATATTTATTTTTGTCTCGCACTATCCCCAGCACAGAGCCTCACACCTAGAGGGTATGCAACAAATAATCCTGCGCAATTCAATCAACATTCACCAATTACTTACTCTATGCAAGGCAATGTGGTAGGCACTGTCAGGAAAACAAAGAATAAGATAGTTCCTTGCACATATTCAATAAGTAGTAGTTGAATGATGAGGAGTTTTATAGTTCAATAAAAGAACTACACAACAAAATATAATCAACTCTTAATTTACCAGGGAATGGGGTAGATGAGGAAACAAGTAATAAAGAGTTCAAAATCAGGCCCTGGCCAGGTAGCTAGCTCAACTTAAGAATGTTGTTCAGATATGCCAAGGTTGTGGGTTAGAACACATACAAGAGTCAACCAATGAATGAGTAGTGGAGCAGCAAATCGATTTCTCTCGCTCTCCCCTCTTCTTCTCTCTCTATAATTAATTTTTTAAAAAAGATTTCAAAATCATAGTTAAAACAAAATCTTATAAAACATGGTACAAAATAGGTCTAGTATAAATATATTTTAAATTATATCTAGTATTTAGGAGCATATTTATTATTCTAACTCATCAGCATAGCAGAAGTAAACCATGAAAATATTTGAGCCTTTTTCACTGACTACCTGTACGGAAGGAAAACACTGGGCCGTGGATACTGCACAAAAAATATTTAAGAAATTAGTAAGGAAAAGTCCAAGAAAATAAAAATTAAGGGACAGAGGGATACGAGGAGATTCAGGCAAGAGTTAACATCACAGAAGCCAGGGAAGTATCGATAACAATTTACTACTGTAATAACCCCAAAATCTCAATAGCTTAACACAGTAAAGCTTCATCTCTTTTCTTTCTTTCTTTCTTTCTTTCTTTCTTTCTTTCTTTCTTTCTTTCTTTCTTTCTTTCTTTCTTTCTTTCTTTCTTCCTTCCTTCCTTCCTTCCTTCCTTCCTTCCTTCCTTCCTTCCTTCCTTTCTTTCTTTCTTTCTTTCTTTCTTTCTTTCTTTCTTTCTTTCTTTCTGTGTGTTGTTGAAACTATTACAGTTAGAATCGGTTAGACCCCATTTCACCCTTTTTGCCCCCCACCCCCACCCCCAGCCTTCATCGCACTGTTGTCTGGGTCTATGGGCTATGTTTATATATGTTCTTTGGCTAATCACTTCACAAGCTTCATTTATCATTCATGTCACGCTCTACTGCAGTCAGTGGGAAGGGGAGGATAGGCCTGGGAGCAGTTATTCAGGCACCTAAGTTTCTTCCATTATATAGTTTTTCCATCCCTTAGGTCTTAGAGTCTTCTACTGGCTCCTCTACAGGAAGAGAGGAGGGAGGGAGGGAGGGGCCAAGCCCAGAAGTGGCACACATCACTTCTCACTTTCCACTACTCAGAACTCTAAGCACATGGCCCCACTTAGCTGCAGGTGGAGGCTGGGAAATGTGGTTTGGCTGTATGCCTTAGAGGAAAAGGAAATGGACTAGTGAGCACAAAGCAGGGTCTCTGTACACCTTGTGTAAATGTAGCAAAAAAGGTTATGAAAGATAACCGGTGTCCATTGGATGTACAGATCATTCTTACCCTGGTAAGACTA